CGATAATCTGTTCGACAGTCTGAGTCACTAAACTTGAGAAAAAGAGAACGTAGAGAAAAAAAAAAAAAAAAAAAAAAAAAAAGAAGCAGACAGGAGAAAACCTCAGTCAGTAAATAAGAGCGTTAAACGAGAATAGATGGTCGATCGTCGCCGTAATCCGCCGAAAAAAAAGAGAATAAGACCACGAAAATAAGACAAAGTATATAGAAAAAGGGGTAGAATCGCAAAAGGAAAAAATAGATTCAAAGAAAAGAGAAAAAAAAGGGTTAAAAAAGAGGAGTAAAAGGGGTAAAAAGGGGAGGGGGAGAAGAAAACTTTCTTTAGAGTAGAATCACTTCCGGTTTGTCTCGCAGTAAAACTTCCTTAAGTCGGCTATTCCGTACTTTTTCCACCCTGTCGCTTTTCGGGGCCTGATATTGGACCCTTTGGACTGGAAAAAGCTTCTCTTGGGGGGTCTCTCTTTTTATTATCGCTCCTTTCTGCCTTACTTGAGACTCTCGGAAGATTTAATGCACACGTCAATTTTAAACAAAAAATTTATCTTCAAGCTAGGGCCTCGATTTTTATCCGTTTTTTGCTTTTTTTGGGAGGAAGAGGGGGGGGGGAAAGAATTTTATAACTTTTGTTAGAAAAAGTTCATGGAATGATAAATTGAAATGTAATGTTTATCTCGGTGAAAGTTGATATACTATAGACAAAAATATCTTTTACAGTTCTTTAAATTTTCAACTTTTGGTATTTCTTCTTTTGTCTGATTAAAAAGTGGTTGTACTACTTAAAAAATATAATATTAATAGTGTTTGAGAAAAAATAATTTTTTGTTCTATTGTCCAACTAACATTTACTTTTTCTACTCATATTCCAATTTCGAATATTTTTATTCTTTAGCCAGACTAAAATTTACTTTTACTACTTATTATCCTACTCACAGAATTTTTATTACTATGTTTGACTAAAATGTAATTTTACCACTTAAAAAATTCGATACCATATATTTCTTACTTTCTGACTGACTAAAATTTACTTTTACTACTAATTTTCGAACCTTCAGTATTTTTACTTTTCCATTTAAATTATTTTCAACCCTTAGGTCTGACTAAAACGTAGTTTTACCACTTGGAAAAATATAAATAAATATTTTTTACTTTATCGTCTGACTAAAATAAACTTTCACTACTGATTTTCCAACTCCCAGGGTTTCTACCCTTAAGTCTGACTAAAATGTAGTTTTATCACTTAAAAAATAAGACAAACAAACTTTTTTTACTTTTCGTCTGACTAAAATAATCTTTGACCACTGATTTTCTAATTCCCTGTATTTCTACTCTTAGGTCTGACTAAAAAATAGTTTTTTCATTAAAAAAAAGCAAAAAAACCTTTATACTTTTTTTTACTTTTTACTTTTAACGAAATATAACTTTTGCAAAACATAACTTTTTTGTATTTATTGAACTTTAAAGAAAATTTGTTATTTTTAGTTAAAACGAAAAAATTTATATATAAAAAAATCAAAATTTTACGAAAGAGAACTACACGTGAAAATAAATAAATAAAAAATAAAAGGATGTTACACTGATTCTAGGGAAAAAAAAAGATCAAAAATCCATGATTGAAGTTTATAAAAAATATTAACTCTTTTATTTTTTGAATAAACATTTGTTTGAAAGCTCTTCTATTTTTCTATTCGTATTTTCCATGAAGGGAAATATTTTTTTTTTCATAGATCTAGTAAAAATATTTAAAAATTTTTTTACAAAAACCAAAAAATATGAAACACATTTGTTTGTAAACTGAAATTGAGGAGTAAGCGGCCAAAAGTGGATAAGTCTCTTTTTTTTACTATTTCGAGTTTAAACTTTAAACAAATGGAATTTTACACATAAACAAAGTTAATTTCAAAATAAAAAAAATAAACTGAATTATTTGTATTACAATACTTTTTTGGACTTAGAAGTCTCATTATTAATTAAAGTGAATTATAAATAATGAATTTTATAATTTTGGTCATTTATTTAGTTAAAAAAAATAAAATTTTAAATCTTGTTGGTTAAGTAGAAATATTTTTAAATTAATATACCTAATTCATTATTGACAATTTTTTTTTCTTAATGTAACAGTGATTACTTATTTGGAAATTTAAATAATTATCATTCTCGGAAAATGCAAAGTAAAAGTTTTTTAAAAAATGGACTTATCAATTTTTGGCCGTTTGCTCTTCAATTGAAATTTTTTCTTGATATTTAATATAATTTAATAATTTTATTAAAATTTTTTAAAACAATTGAATTTTGGAGATGTATTTTATTATTTATAAAGATAATTAAAGTTTTGACAAGAATTCTTAAAATTTTTGAACATAATTAAATTTCTGCGAAGAATTTTGTTACTTTTAAAAATAATTGAATTTCTGCGAAGAATTTTGTTACTTTTGAAAATAATTGAATTTCTGCAATGATTTATAACTTCTCCAAAATTCAATTTTTTTTAGTGTTTTAAAATTAAACTTCTATAAATCCATCATTCAAAGTAGAAATTTTATAAAATTTCAAATTAAAACCTTTTGAAATTCATCTATTTAAATGAAAATTTCAACGCAACTCTTTTAAAATTTAATTAATTTTTAAAACATTTATGTATTATTAAAATTAATCATTTAATTAATTTTATTATATTTTAATTAATTATTCATTAGATAATTTATAAGTTGGTCAGAATTCGTGAAATTTTCACAGAAAATAAAAAAGTATTTTTTTAAATCGAAATGTTAAAAAAACATTTCTATTTGACCTTAGGAATATGTCCACCAAAGAACAGAAAAAACATTTTTTTTTATAAAAGTTATTGCAACATAAATTATTTTGCAACTTTTTAAACAAAAATTTTATTTCTCCTAAATGAATAAACCGATTAAAATGAACCAAGCGAAAATATGAAGATGAAAAAATATACTTTCGTTTAGAATTAGAAAATTTTTAAAAAGTATATTTTTTAATAATTATCTAATAAATTTTTTATAAACAATTCTGACAATTTTTGTTTTGTTCAATACGTAGTTAAAAATAATGTTTTAATTAAGAAAATCATCAAAATCGCATCTCCGTTCAATATAATTTTCATTATAACTTTTAAAATAATTGTCGCTCCTGAATTTTCACAACGGATTTTGATTTCTTATTATTTTAATTGTATGTTGATATTTTTAAAAAAATTTTAAAAGGCGCAGAACATTAACAAAAATTAATTGTTTATAAAAAACGTATTAAATAATTATTAAAAAATAAACTTTTTAAAAATTTTCTAATTCTAAACGAAAGTATATATTTTATCCCCTTTATATTTTCGCTTGGTTCATTTAAATCGGTTCATTCATTGAGGAGAAATAAAATTTTGTTTAAAAAGTTGCAAAAAAATGTATTTTGCAATAACTTTTATAAAAAAAAAGTTTTTTCTGTTTTTTTGATGACACATTCCTAAGGCCAAATAAAAATGTTTTTTAAACATTTCGATTTAAAAAAAAATACTTTTTACTTTGTGTGAAAATTTCCCGAATTCTGACCCAAATATAATAATTTTTTGATAGTTCTTCAAGAATTAAGTTATTAAAAAAACTTATTGTCAGAAATAGAAAAAATTGAAGGTTTCGTATTAGAATTCGTGGGAATTTCATGCAAACGAAAGACACTAAATTTCAGAATTTTCTTATGAGTTTTAAAAATTTAATTTTTTCCAGAACTTTTAGTAAAATTCTCTGACTTTTCTTGACTAATTCTACTTCCCCTGAATTTCCTGACCTATGGCAATCCTGAAAAAGAAATAAAAAACGGAAAAGAATAGAAAAAAAACTCCTGTTCATAAAATTTTCCAACATTAAATAACTTTTCATATTGAGTAAAAACGAAGTTAAAGTCCACAACGTTTATCAACGAAAAAAATTTATTTAATGGAATCAAGTATTATTTTTAATTTAATATTTAATTATAAAATAATTATTATAAAAATATAAACCTCAATCTTTTTCTTCTAAATATTTTTATGTCAATATTGCTGCGTCATTTTTAATTAATTTACTAAGAGAAGACTTTTTTTTGTTAATCAACGTTGTGGACTTCAACTTATTGGTGAGTAAAATCGTGTTATGATTTATTTATTTATTTTTTTATTGTTTTGTTATAAAAATGTGGGAATATGATTTTTTTGCCACCGCTATATATATATGGGTGAGTAAGAGTTGTAAACTAAATCCGCAAGTGGGTCGTATTTGGAGAGATGTATTGTTTTGCCGCAAACTACGTCGTATAGACCCTTTAGGTCTGTGCAAACAAACGGATAAAGCTGCCAATGTCGACACAAAGAAAGTGAGTGGCTTTTGCACCAATGCGACCTCATGGACACAAGAATTGAAGTAGAAACGTGTCCAAATACGCATACACCTGCGAATACGAATAACAGGGTTATTGGCTGAAATCCAGAGGGGCCACTCAAAGCCAATCGTTCCCTTTGGACCTCGTATGTTATATACTGCCTCACGTTACCGACTTTGCGGGCCATTCGTTTTTTTTTCCCTATTTTTTGGCATTCCCTTTTTCCCCAACATTTTTTTTTCTCCTCTTTATAATTCTCGTTTTGTTTTTACAATATTTATAAATTCACTTCACGCAAAAATTGCGCATGTCACAATCAATCGTCGAAATGAAAGACACGCCTTTTTCTTTTTTCTTTTTTGCTGAATATTTATTTTCACATAAAACATGGATTTAGAAAGAATTTTCTTTTTTCTTTTGAACATTTTTTTTTTTCGATTTGAATGAGCGATGAATTTTTAATGGGGAGAAAAAATGAAATCGACGTTTATGGAATAGAAAAAAGTATTATGGTTTTGTGTATATGAAAAAAAAAGATATAAAAATTGTTTTTTTTTTAATAAAAAAAATATGGATGGGGAAAAATTAAATTTTATGTGGGTGAATAATTTTTGTAAATTTTTTTTTTTCTTTTTACAGACTCGTTTCTTCGCCGACGAGACAAAATGAGGCCTCGTCGAGCAATTCGACGTTCCATCATGGAGCGACATTTGCTGTCAGGGTCGGTACCATTGATGGGGTAATAACCCACAATCTACGGGCAGAAACCAGAAGAGATTTAGCTGCGTGGGCCAGAGCCATTGTTCAAGGCTGTCATTCCGCGGCACTTTCGCTCCGTGAATATACAGTTCGTAAGTATTTTTTCAATTTTGATAAAATTACTTTTGTCATTTTCAAAGAAGCTAATAAAAAAAAAATACCAAGATAATTTTTTGAAAGCTCATTTTTTTATTATTTATTTTTCATTTTTATTATTTTCATTATCATTATATGCAAAATGAGGTAAAATAATTTTTTTTTATCACATGAAATTAGACCTTATTATTATTTTTCTTATATTATTATTATTTTTTTATTATTACTATTATTATTATTATTATTATATATGATACTTCATTTGTTATTATTTTGCAAATTACAGAATTTCATACCAGATTAATAATTTAAAAAATCCCCTTATTAAGTAAATAATTAATTACTCTCGCTTAATATTTTCAAAAATTTTAATAACATTTTTTGCCAGAATTCAATTATTCATAAATTATATTCTTTGGAAGAATTGAATTATTTTTATCTCTGAAATTTTATTAGAATTTTTCAAATACAATTCAATTATATTTATAAATTGTAAATAAAGTGTAAAAAAAACTTTAAAAAAATCTAACTTTAAACAAAAATTTTTTAAATTAAATTTATTAAATTGTTGAGAAAAATTTTACTTTTTACGAAAATAATTGAAATTCTTTGAATAAATTTTATTAAAATTTCTCAAATTATTTGAAAGAATTTTATTAAAAATTTTAAAAGACATTTAAATTCATTCGAGGAATTCAATTGAAATTGTATTGAAGAAAATTGAAATTTTTTGAAGAACTTATTTGTATGTAAATAATTGAATTGTTTCAAGGAATTTTATTAAAATTTTTTTAAATTATTAAATCTTTTCGAAGAATTGTACAAAGTTTGTGAAAATCATTGAATTTATGCGAAGAATTTTATTAAAATCTTAAAAAATAATTCAATTTTTTCTGTATTAAAATTGATTTTAAAATAGTTAAAAATTTCTGCAAAGAATTTTACTTATTTATAAAAATAATTGGATTCTTTTACAGAATTTTATCAACATTTTTAAAAATAAATAAATAATTGAATTATTTAAAAAATTTTATTAAAATTGTATTGAAAATAATTTAAATCCTCAGAAAAATTTTATTATTTATAAAAAGAAATTAATTTCTGTGCAGAATTTTACAATTTATATAAATATAATTAAATTGTATTCGAAAAATTCTATTAACATTTCAGAAATTAATTGAATTATTAAGAATATTTTTACTTAAATGTTTGACATAAAAAAAAAATTTTTTTAAGTTTTTTAAAGTTTGAATTTAATAAATTCAAACATTTAAGTAAAAATATTTTTAATAATTCAATTAATTTCTGAAATGTTAATAGAATTTTTTGAATACAATTCAATTATATTTATATAAATTGTAAAATTCTTCACAGAAATTATTTTTTTTATAAATAATAAAATTCTTCTGAGGATTTCAATTATTTTCAATACAATTTTAATAAAATTTTTAAAAAATTCAATTATTTATTTATTTTCAAAAATTTTGATAAATGCTTCAAAAAATTATTAAAATACTTAAAAAACAAAGAAGCAAACTAAAACTAATTTTCTTTTTTTAAAATCATTGAATTTTCAAGAAACTTTCTCAAAATCAAATTCTATGGAAATAAATTTTATATTTTAAAGAAAATTATTACAACTAAAAATATTGTTGTCGTTGAGAGAAAAATATTTCAAAATTGAAAAATATGATTTGAAAATCATTAAATTTTAAATTTTAACTGACAAGACCTAAAAAAAAATTAAAAAGTACGCAAAATTTTTTGAAAATTTCAAGTGTAGAGATAACGAAATCAATACGATTATAAACATTTTTTTTAAATATTATTATATAAACTCGAAATGTTATGAAAATATTTGACTTTATATTTTGGAAATTTGTCTTTCTTTGTATAAATGGTGAAAAAGCAGAATGTGTATAAAAAAAAGAAACGTCTATTGAATAAAGTAAAAAAAAATTTATTATGTCAGAAAAAAAAGAGGCGCATAGAAAAAAAAATAAATTGCTTTGATACGAATAAATCGGATTGGAGAACTTTCCTTCTTTTATATAAATATCTGTGAAGAAGATGTGTGTTCTACTCGTCCTCTGGACTGATGAATTCAATTCCTCTTTTCTGAGGCCATGTAATAAATCGAACTCTACAATTGGAGGATTTATTTTCATTTTTTTTCAATCCTTTTCGAAAGAAACTTCTTAAATTTGTTGCGATTTCATTGATCGCATTAGACATTTTCCTTTATTCTATATATTTATATAAATCGTTATCAAATTTCTACAAATAGCAATTTTTCAGGAGAAAATTTATAAAATTTATAAAATTTATTATATTAAATAATAATAATAAAAAGTTATTAAAACAAATATTACTTTTAAGTTTGTAAATAATCCTAAAAAAAAACTCTCAGGCACTGAAGGGATTATTTTTCCGAGAAAAGAAAATCTTTCAATGAAGAATCTCCTTGACAAAATGATGTCAATTAATTTCTTTCTCCTTTTTTTTGAAAACACCTTCCCCGTGCAGTACTCTCTGGCAATTAAAGTCTAAAGGACTTTTTTTCCTCTTGGCAAAAAAAAAAGAAGGGAAAATACTCTGCCGAAAAACTGCTAAATGAAAAAATGCTAAAATAAAAAAGCCAAAACTTAAGGACTGATCTTCATTAATTAAAAAGTTGCCTTTCCACTTAATTATTTTCTTAGAGTTAATTAGGCCTTTTCAGAAATTGTAGGAATGCTTTTAGAAATAAATATAAGTGTTTATTAAAATTTATGCAGAAGTTTGTTAATTTGTTCGTTCAATTTTACACGAATTTATTTTTTATTTATTTTTTCATTTATAAACGGGACATTATATTTTTTTTCTTATTTTAAAATCAGATTTTAATTATAATTTTCAGATAATAATTAATAATATTCAAAATTATTGTTTGAACAATTTTTCAAAATTTAATTTTTGTACCTTTATTGTTAATTTTTTCCAGTAAATGAAAATTAATTTTTTAATGAATTGAGGATATTGTTGTTATGAATGAAAGATAATGTTTTGATTCGATTAGAAGATGAATGACTGTAATAATTTAATGTATTTCTGACTGTATTGTGTTTATTAGGATGTGTCTGGCAAGGTAGGGCTTGTCAACTAATTGTCAACCACGAAGATGGTTTCACCCTCTATGCGGCCGGAGCGAGAGGAGTTACTGGATCTGGTGTCAGTCCTGGTTCACCACCTACTCCTCTGTGGCGGAGATCTTTTGACAAACTCAAAATGTCAGCTGACGATGGTGCAAGACTACTCTGGCTTGACTTTGGTGGTGAAGACGGTGAAATTGTACGTTTCAAACACATTTCAATTTTTAAACACCCATTCGAAATATACTTTTCAGTCTATTTCAAGTTTACTTAAATAATTTAATTAGGCATTTTTTAATTATTAATTAACTAAATTAATCTTCGTATTCTTTCATTCATTCTGTCCGCAATTTGAAGTTAGTTTCTGTGTATGATTTTGTTTTTTTTTCTTTAGAAAATATTGTTTGACAAATCGAAAATATGCGGAGACTTTTTCATGATTTATAATAAAACAATATTAAAAATTAGAAAATTTAAAAAAAATTATGATTAACAAATAAAAAATATACCCATTTTGTTTGTTATATGCTTTTTTTTATAACAAATTTTGTTTGACTTCTCTAAATTATTATGCAAATTATTCTCCTTTTTATTTATAAAAAATACTAGAAAATTGTTAATTGTTAAAAAAATTTTATTAAGAATCAGTAAATATACCCATTTTATGCATAATTTTTATTTCTCAATAACAATATTGTTTACAAAGTCATTTTTTTCCTTTGGGAAGAAAAACATTAGATCTTCCCGTTTCTTAATATTTTTATAGAAAATTCTCAATTTTCATAAGGAAATAATTTGCATTAGTTCTATTTCTTAATTTCAATCGTTTTAATAGAATTCAAAGTTTTTTAAAAATAAAGGAAAAAAATGTTTATAAATTATATTTGTCAATTAGAAAATTTAATTGAAAGTGAAACTGAAAGTTTTTGAATTTTTAGAAATACAGAAAAAAATTTTATTGAAAAAAATGTTGTGTTAAATTTATTTACGAATATCTTTGATTGTAAAATTATTCAAAAACAATTTCTTTTTTTTTATATTTTAAATATTTAATTATTATTTTTCCATAGAAATTAAGATTTAAAAAAATTTCAAAATTCAAACTTTTTTGAAATTAATCAACTTTAAAAATATCATTATGTTTTATAATAGTTAAAAAGGATTGAGTGTTAAAATCATTATTTTATATTATAAGAATATTATTGTTGTAACTTCTTAAAAATTATTTTCAAATTCTATTATTATCTAAAATTTAAATTAAAATTCATTTTCAAATCAATTTTTATTAGAAAATTTTACGAGAATTCAATTATTTAAATAGAAAAGTAAATTATTTACTGAATAATTAAATCCTTCTTAAAATTTAATTCTTATAAAGAATTTTATTAACAAATTTTTAAATAATTGAATTCTTTTGACGAATTTTAATAAAATTTTTTAGAATAGTTACAGTTTTGAAGGAATTTGATTGAAGAAGAAACATAAATAATTTGTAAATATTTGAATTCCTGTGAAATTTTTATTAATTATGAAAATAATTAAATGTTTGCTTACAATTTTGTCAACAAAATTTTTTTTAATAATTGAATTCTAATGAGTCATTTTATTAAAATAGTAGATATTGAAAATCATTTATATGAGGAAAAATTTTATTAAAAGTTTTGAAAATAATTGAATTTTAAAGAATTTTTTTATTTATAAAAATTATAATTGGGATTTTGTCTACAATTTTTTGTAAATTTTGAACATAATTGAATTTTGTGATAAGAATTTTATTACTTTTTTTTTGTTACTAATTTTAGAAGATTTTGAATTATTAAAATTTTTCAAAAATCTATGTCCATTAAAACTTGTAATTAAATTCATTCAACATTGAGAATTTTCTTATTAATTCTAAAAATTTAACTTTTTTCAGTACTTTTAATAAAAGTTCCTGACTTTTCCCTGAATTCCCTATGTCATAATATATGATTATTATAATTATAATAATATTAAAACTATAAATTAATATTTTATTTTTATAAAAAAAAATTGTATTAAAAATTTTTACGTCCTATTATTTTTAAAATCGCTAATTTTATTTAAAAAGAAGTGAGGTCTGACGAAAATGGACTTTTACTACTGATTTCTCTATAATCCAAATTTTTCTATAATCCAAATTACTTAAAAAATACGATAAAAATTTTTTTAAATTTTTTACTGTCTAAAAATTACTTTTTCTACTAATTTTCGAGAGAATCATTTAATAAAAAATAAATAACATTGAAAGCAATTGTTCAATAAGATAAAAAATTATTCTCTGATTAAAGGAATTGGACCTGGAAAGCTGTCCGAAGCCAATTGTCTTCGTTCTGCACAACTTTCTCTCAGCGAAGATACATCGCCTTGGATTGACTGCATAGGGGTACGAGGGGGCCCCTCTCGAGGCCCCCGATCTACCTCCCCACACAACTAGGTCTGTAACTAGCGTCTTTTTACATTAAAAACAAAAAAAAAAAAAATTACAAACCGATATAAAAGTAATTGAAGAGAGAAAAAAATCGACGATATATCAGATCGGGTGGCCGCCTTGTGACTCAAAATTGAAAAATAAAATATCAACATACACACAAAGATCACGATGGGGAGGATTAAAGATATTTCTTTTTTTGAGTCACACAACTCGTACCTCATATTATTTTTTATTTTACAAAAACTCGTAAAATCCTTTTTTTTATTTATTTTACTTTATCCTTTTATATTAATTCACCTCTTTTATTTTTATTTTTTTTTATTTTTCTTAATTTTTACAATTTTTTTCAAATTGCTTTTTAATGCAATTTCTTTTTGAATTTCTTTTTTAATTTAAAAAAATTTTTTTTTTGTTTGCGTTTTTCCAAAAAGGCAAATTTATTATTTTTGGTATTTTTTCGACTGTTTTTTTCTTTTCATGTCATTCAAGAATTTCTATTTAAAATTTTTGTCTTTATTTTTAGTGTATTTATTACCTGAAAGATAATTATCTTTTTATGTTACGAAAGCAGAAAAAATGCTTTTTGTTAATTTGTATTAATATTAAGGAGAAAAAGTGGGTAAAATTGTAATTTGAAAATAAATTTTAGTTAATAATGTAGTAATATTAACTTATTAATAAATTATTTCAATTCTATTTTAATTGTAAATTATAATTAAAATAAAATAATTTAATTATTAATTAATAAATTATTTTTTTACTATTTTACTCGAAATTTGTTCGTTACATTCACAATTAATTATTCTTCCAGGCATTACGATAATTTTATTTTTCTCAAATATACATTATAATTGCTTTAGAATAATTTATTATAAATAATCACTTGAATGTGAAAAATTTATAAGTTTTAAGAACATTTTGTATTTTATGTTCTTTATAATAATATAAGTTACAGTTTGTTATTAATTAAATACATTTATTTTTTTATCTAATAGATTAATTAATATATATATATATATAATCTTTACTTTGAGAAACAATAACGTATTAAACATGTCAATTAAAACGCTAATTAAGTATATTTTTATTATTATTATTATTATTATTATTTATATTTTTATTACTACTTTTATTATTATTATTATTATTATTTTTTTTTTTTCATTATCATTATTAATTAATAAACCTTGATGTATTAATTTTTATTCATATACATAAGGTATTAATTATCAATTAATTTATTAATTACATTCTAAATGACAATTACTCTTACAAATTAGTTGGAAAATGAAATTATTTAAATTTTAGTTTTAATTTGAATTTTGATTGAACGAATTGAATTTAATTTAAATTTAGTTTTAATTTTGATTTAAATTTTAATTGAACAAATTGAATTTAATTTTAGTTTTAATTTTAATGTTATTTTCAATTTAAAATTACGAATTTTGCAAAGAAAATTCGAGACTAGGCTCCCAAAAAGTATGAAAACAAAAATACTCGTGATCTTTGTCAAAAATAAAATCACATTCGCGAGCCAACGACGACAATTTTTAACGTAAGAAAGTATAAATAGATAAAGGAAATGCGAGTGTCCACAGAGGTAACGCGATATATAAAAAAAAATGAATATAAACGATAATCGATTCGAAGCCATCCAGGAAGTGATTTTTTGAAATTGTGAAGGTTATGAGAAAAAATAAATTATTAATAAGTGAATGGGTCCGAAGAATTAAGCAGTATTTGAAGAAGAAAAAAATAAAAAAAAGTTATATAATTATATCGAAGAAACGCTAGTGAATAATCAATGCGCCTAACTCAGTAACTGATTAACCTAATTATCGGTAATATAAGCGAAAAGAAAAATAACGAATTATTATAATAAAAAAAAATAATAATAATAAACGGAAAAGGAGAAGAAAATAAAAAGCTCATTGATGAGTGCGAGAGAGAGCATATGGCCTAGTTAATCAGAAAAAAGAATTGTAGAAACCAAAAAAAAAAGAGATATTTTACAGTCTCTTTTCTTTTTAATAATCAACAAAGGGCGGATTATTTGTTGTAAACTATTGTAAAATTGATTATATTATAATTAAATTTCTCATGTAAGATACTCTTTGGCAATTTGTTCCCTGGAGATTATATCGGACCGCCCTTTTTAGACAAAAAAAAAATAAATAAATAATGAAAGAAAGAAAGAAAAAATCCGGATCCGTTCCTGATCGTGCAAACCGCATGATAAAACTAAATAATGAAAGTGCGAAAATCTGTATGAACGGAAAATTGTGAGAATGTGTTGAAATGTTATAAAGACACTGTATAAATTTAGTCGCTAATTTGTAATTGTTACCGCGCTGCCGCTCGCTGGCGATTAATCAAACTTTCATAAATATATATACACGCAGATAGTTTATTATTATTATTATCATTATCATTATTATTATTCACTCAGTGAATTTATACAATAAACGTGCAAACAAATATATACAAGAAAACCTTTTCAAAACTTGGACGATATATTAAAAAAAAAAAAATTCGTCCATGTCAGAAAGTGACAATAAATTTTAATAAATTTTCAATTTTTAGCGAAAATTGTATTTTAATTTTATTATATCGACACTTTTTCTCTATATCCTATATCTACAAACTTTTTTTACAAAAACTTTTCAACTTTTCTATAAAAAAAAAAACCTAAAGTATATACCTAATTCAAGAAAGTATTTTCAAAAATAACTTTTCTTATAAAGAAAATAAAGCACATATGAAGTTTTAGTTTAAAAGAGATTTTTGAGGAAAAAATCATTTTTCCCGCAAAGAAAAAAAAGTTATGAAGCAAAATTTCAAAATTTCTAAAACAATGATTGGGGTACAATTTTTCTAGAACGTATTTTCTGATTATTTATTTTCTAAAAATATTTTTTCTATAACAAGCCTTGGATAATATATATGATTTTCTTTGATTATTTTCTAAAAAATTCGACTTCTTCGACTTATTTTCGAAAATTGGGACTATGTCCACTTTTCCTCTACAAATTACAAGAAAATAACACTTTTGTTAGAATAAAATGCAACTTATTTCGATTTTCATGATGTGAAAGAAAATTTGAAATAATTTTTCCACGATAATTTTGAAATTTATTGAAAATAATAGATTTTTTTAAAAGTATTTCATTAAAATTTTTGAAAAATAAATTTTGAAGAATTCTAATTGCAAATTTTGAAAGAAAATGAATTTTTAAAAGTTTTAATGAAAAAACTTCAAATGAAAATTTGAAAATGGATATTAATAAAAAATAGCTTCATAAATTTCTATAAGAGTAATTTTTAAAATAATAATTCTGAAACTTTCTTTATTATAATTTTTTTAAAAATCAATTATTTTTAATATCTTTACATATTTCTGAAAATTTAAATAGCTAACAAAAAATAACATTAAAATTTCTTTGAAATACTTAAATTTTTCTAATTATTATTAAAGCTACGGAAAAATTGGTCATTTTTAAAAATTTTTATTAAAACTTTTCAAAAAATTTATTAGTTCTTTTAAGGTGGTCAGAGATTATTTTAAGAAATTCAATTATTTTCGAAAAAATACATTACAATATTTTTATAAAAACTAATTCTTAGAATTATTTTAATAAAATTTTTTTAAATTCGATTTATGTGAAAAAAGTGAATTAAAAACATTAAAATTTTTTAAAAGTCTGCTTTTCTTACTTTTTTTAAAAACAAATTTCAAAATTCTAAACGAATTCAATTTTCAAAAAATTTCAGATGCAATTTTTTTAGAAAATAGTTGAATTTTTAAAAATGTTAAATTCAAAAATTTTTTAATAATCCAAATTTTGTAAAATTTAATTCAAAACAATTGAATTTTAAATTCTATTTTACGTGAATTTTCTTTTTTTTCAATAATTCAATTCTTCAAGACCTTCCTGAAAATTATCAAAAATAATTGAATTAGAGAGAAGAATATGAGTTGAAAAATTTATAAAACAATTGATTGTCAGAAAAGTTGTAGTAGAAATTTTTAGAAATAATTGAAACTCAAAAGTTTTCAAATTTCAACTTTTAAAAATTTGAATTTTTAATAATTTCGATTAAAAATTCTAAACAATTTTGTTCTTTGAAAAATTTTAATTTCAATATTTTTTTAAAATTATTTATTTATTAGATTTTTTAAAATTTTTTTAAATTTATTTTTATATACAATTGAAAAATTTTCGAATAATTGAAATTTCGTAAAATTAAATTAAAAACAATTAAATTTTAATCGTATTTCAATTTTCTAAGTAAAATTTCTTGTTTTTAATCATTGAATTTTCAAAATAATCAAGTATAACTGAATTAAAAAAGAGTTTTAGTAAAATAAATCGACTAAAACGACTTTTTTTGCTTCTTAAAAATTAAAAACGATTCGGGGCCTGTAATAAAGGATAAATTTTCATTTTATTCTAATTTTCTTTAATTTTATAAAAAAATTTTGATAAAATTGTTCAATTTCTACTAATAAATGTAATTAAAATAATATATGTAATTTGAAACTATAAATTTTTTTTTAATTTTAAGTTTATAAATTTAAAGTAAAAAAAATACTTGTCATAACATAAATCTTTAGTAACTCAATTTAAAAAAAATTATACTTTTAAAAAAATTTTATAATTTTTTTTTAAATTTCACTTTATATTTATTTGAATTTTCTTTGAAATTTTTTTTTAAAAAATGTAGAAAAATCAAAACGGGTCAGAAATTGCAATTAAATAAATTGTAGAAATCAAAAGTTGTTAGAAAATTTTTTTTTTAAATGAGAACTTTGTTAGACAAAAAATGAGAAAATACGTTTCTGGAAAAAATCTTTTTCCTCTGGTAAAAACAATGTCTGAGACAATATAGTGAAATAAAAACAAAAATAGTATTACTATTATAATATAAAACACGCTTTCATCATATCAAATAAAGTAAAAAAGAAATCATTAGATTTGGAATACATTTTCAACTTTTTATACCTAATCGTAAGAAAAATTAAAAAAGAGAAAAAAAATTAGATAAAAAAATTTTTCCGAGGAAGTTTACGTAAAAGCGTGTGCTCATTCTATCTCCTTCTGATCGTTATCATCATATTTAACTTACCGGGTGCGCCATAATTACGCTGGAACTTACAGACTTTTTTTTCTCTTCATCTCTCTCTCTCTCTTAGAAAATATCGAACAGAAAAAAAAATGAGAGACGACAGGAGATGAAGGGATGGGTGAAAAACTTTCTCGACGGAGTGAAGAAAAAAAAAGCGCAGAAGAAAAA